ATACTAAAAAAGAGGGCAACTAGATCACACTCGAGATGGCAGGCAAATTCATGATCCTTCGAGAAACTCCAACGCGCATGCTCCCAGCGTCGCGTGACTTCCGCTGTCGTAACAATATATATGTAGTTTCCAACCAGAAAAACATATATTTATATATATTACACGTTGTTATAAATACTTGTGTGCATGCTTGTATATATGTTTGTTTTGTTCTTAAGCACAAAGCTATACCATAAGTTATCTGTGCTCTGCCCACAGCTGGTATCGAAACCCTCTTTTTAGCGTAGAACGCCCTTATTCTTGTTATTAGGCTACCGGGAGAAGCATATATATGCAGTTTCCAACCAATATCACACACAAGAACATATATATATGTATGTGTATTACTTGCTCTTATATCTACCTGTGTGTGCCTATTTATATGTTTGTTTGTTTGTTGTTAATTATGCAAAAAGCTACACATGGGCTATATGTGCTCTGCCCACCACGGGTATCGAAACCAGGTTTCTAGCGTTGTAAGTCCGCAGAACTACCGCTGTGCCACTGGGGAGGGCGATTTATATGTATATATGTGTATGCAGTTCCCAACCAGCAGAACATATATATATATATATGTTACAAGTTGTTATATATACCTGTGTGCATATTTATATACAATACTTACTAGAAGGTTAAAATAATCCAAAAATTCGACTATATATCTATCTTATCTGCCCCTTGTAATCTAAATCAGAAAATACATCCGATCACCATTCAACGACATCGTATTTTATAATTTGCAATTGAAATTTACTTTGGTATATTAAAAAGGTGAAAGTTGGGAGGTTATATCGCTCACAATTAAATTATAAAGGAGGCTTGTACATAACTATACAAAATGATTGTACATTTCTTCTATATTACTGCAATACATTATCGCTGTGATATTGGCTACCGAGTTTTTTTTCTGGGCCTCGTAGAATTATGTATCCAAATACATTGAGCTATCTGGATTATTTTAGGCCATACTGCGCTACTGAATTTATGATTACTTTCTGAATTTTATGCCCATCCACTGATTTATCCAGTTTCTCCTAAATCATGTTGTTTTCTGCATGATGAGTAACTTCTGACTCACACTTGATACGAGACATAAATATACCAAAGTATATAATCCCTCCTATGCCATCCTACTCTGTTTGTTGTTGAGCATAAAGCTACCAAATGGGCTATCTGTGCTGTGCACACTGGGATGACTGAAACCAGATTTTTATTGTTATAAGACTTAATGCTTGCCGCTGAGCCACCGGGAAAGAGGGGACCTGCTCTGTTAAGAGGTAACTAGTCTCGGAGATACAAAGGATTTTGTGTCCAATTGAATTGACCTTTTTTCAAATTATACTGATTGATAACTATTTCTATGCCTTGTTAACTATTGTATCCAAAAGCACTAAGTTAAGCTTGTTTTTATTTGTAAGACTGCTTGGATATCACTCTTAATAACACAATGCTATACAGTTCCTCTAACACCACTTATAATACTTAATATTGAATATGTTTTTCATATGTTTTATACAATGCCCCACAGTTGGCCAGAAGCTCGGTTCTGCATATGGATAGAGTCATGACAGTGTTATTCCATACTTTTAACTTGACTGGACTCACTACCGCATCCCTAGATTCATATGTATGTTTGTTTGTATAGTCGCTCCAAATTTTGACTTGATAGACTACAGAAAAGTCAGCTATTCAACAGCATACACTGCCAAAACTTGGGATAAAACATTTGTCCCACCGAATAGTGAGATTCGACCTCCAGTCTTATTTTAAAGCACCCATGCCCCCAAACGTTGAGCAAATGTTTTTGCTACCAATCACTAACCACAAATCTTTGAATTCACAGATCGGGGTTTTGTAGTGATCGGTGTGTAATTTCTGTGCCATGTAATATTTTCAGTTGAAATACATTAATTTACCAAATTCTTTGAGAACATTTTAAATATAATGTCACATTTCTGATAAAGTACTTTGTTCTTCCGCGTGATGAATAACTTTTAATCCACACAGCTCATCACACATATGCTAACAGAAAACTAGATTTTTGACCTCGTAAAAAACGCTTGTTTAATGTTTACAATTTCTCCCTGTTATCGTGTCACTATTCTTCATTAACTCAACAACTGTTTTCCTGATGGACATTGAAGATGTCTTAATATTGGTGTATCTTTTTGTTGGTAGTGCAACAAGTATGTTGTTAAGGATTCTTACAGTTCCAACTTTAGCAAAATTCTAATTCCTAATATATCTCTATCCATTTAAGCAATCATTCTCTTATTTGATTAATAAAAAAAGTGTTTTGTTCACATACATATCTTAAAAGTCCCTTTTCCTTGATATTTTACATGTCCAAATGGATCTAAGTAGTTTTCTTTTTCGTTGTTTGATTAAGAAATTTGCTTAAAAGTGTGGGAATACGTACACTTCAGCCTTACTTGTTAAGCGCTTAGCGTATCTTATTGGCTTATCAAGATAACTTCATTTTTTCTTATAAATATAAGAATAGCAGTTAGAGAAATCCCATCATTTTGGAAGTATTTTCCAATATGCTAGACACTTTTGAAAAATAATAAAAGTTAAAATACATAACAGGGCGTAGCCAAGGGAGGCTGGTTGAACGAGCACCCTAACATTCCGAAAGGTTTTTTTTTCAACTTTCAAATTGTTGCAGCTATAAAATTGAGAAAGATACCATTAAACCTGCAATTATTTTCTTTCACCCAATATTTTTTTTCCTGTTTGCAGGACTCCAATTTGATCAATGTAAACATTTCAACTTTTTTTTCAACACGATTCGCCTTTAACACTATGTTTGGTTAACGTTGATTAATGAAGACTTCAGAACCATAGTTTGTTTGTTGTGTTGTTGTTTTTGGGTGGGTAAATATTATTATTTTCATGTTGTAAAGGAAAAGCGGGTTTTTTTTTTTTGGAAAAAGATACCTACCTTGCTTCTTCAACTGAACTATACACATACATACATGATTTTTGTGCTCTGACGATGACGTCACTAAAACTATAACAGCTGTTATAAGAAATGATATCGAGAGGTAGCCACTTGTTGAAACCTAAAATAACTTGCATATTTCGTGACAAACTGTTACTGTAGTGATAATGTGGCCCAGAAGACCTCGATTACGAACCAGAACTCTCATATATGCTGCTTTAATTAATAGTTTTATTATTGTTCTTCTTAAAGTAATTCTCAAAAGACAAGAAAATGGATCCATTGAAACTGAAAGAGCTTTATACAGAACTCCAGCGAAACAACACGACACGGTACACGTAGCAAGTATGTGGAAGTCTCCACTCAGGTATTTCAAAATATCATGATACGTGTTTTTATCAAAACAGTTCAATGCAAAGTATTAAAGCAAATATGTAAAGTTCTGTAAGGACGATGCTGTGAATTATCAAACATGGACAATTCCAATTTGATGTTTATAGGAAATTAATTACCTTGTAAAATATTATAACACATTGGAAATATCGGAACAAGTTTATGTGTGAGGTTTCATATTTGCACACTGTGAATGGCTGTTAAAATATTATAATTGGGAATATCAGGACAAGTTTACGTGTGTGGTTTTATGTCTGCATATTGTGGATAATCGTAAAAGTTTTATGCATGAATGGTAATATTACACGCAGTGATGTAATACATGTGTATTAATATATGGAGATTTATCTACTGTTATACTATAACATAGCGCATATAATTAGATTTAATGGGAGGTTGTTGTTGTTAAGCACAAAGATACACAATGTACTATCTGTGTTGTGCCCACAACGGGTGCGAAAGCAATATAATCCTTCAGACTTACCGTTGAGTTGACAAAAATTGGGATGAGTAAAATCGAAAGAAAAAGAGTGAGAGGCAAGCAGAGACTCAATTGCCTCAATGAAATTAAAAAAAAATGAATTGGAGATGATAATGTTGGGTTAGGAAAGTTCGTGCAGGCAGCAAGGAATAGAGAACAATTGAAAACCATGGTCATCGACCTTCAGAATGGAGGGAGGACACCATGATTGATTGATACATCTTATATCATCAATATAAAATGTTTTAGTTTTAATTGTTTATTCCTTTCATAACGTAGTTTTATGGTTCGAGTCTTCGGCTAATTACCTATTCATATTTGCGCAATATATTTGTGTTTAATTGTTATATTATTTTATAGGTTTGTCGAAGGGACTATCTATATAGCTACCAGCGTATGTGGAAATCGCTTAGCAGAAGCTCTAGTGATGATTAAGAGTGTTTTCATATTCACAGAAACTCCAACGCATTTTATTTTTTTCACCGAACTCGAGCTGAGACCTCCACTTGAACGTCAGGTAGAAAATGAAGCTTATCTTCGTAATGTCTACCCGTTAATAGTGTTTTTCCTCTATATCAATTAACATTATCTGTTGATTATAAGGTTGATTTGCCAGTATATAAATAACCTAGTACTAAATGTAACTTAATTTATTATAGAATTGTGCAGAACTAGAAAACATGTCTCTTTATTGCATTACAATAAATCAAGAAGTACTTACTACTGTCTGGAAAATTACCCATAATGCATTTTCAAAATTCGTATGTGATTAAGTCACGTGCTCTGTTAGACAATGGAGTACCTATCGGCGCATTTTGCTCGTGTTATCCTCATGGAAAAATGATATTCACATTTCTCTTCGGGCTTAACTTGTTACTGATTTCATGTTATAAAGATTAGCTTTGGTTATTAATTTTCATAAAGGGGTGTCACAGTGTCATGGACTGACATAGCTGGAAATCGGACACACAAACAAACAAAAAACAACAACAAGAAACGAGATTTATTTATCTAGTTTCATAGTGAGAAGGCTGTGGACCCACTGAAAAATACGTGGTATGTACATCAGACAGCCTGAAAAAGGATGTGAGAGATCGACAATGCAGTGTAATGACCGCCATCTGAGCAACATACTGCCTGTGGACTTAACTTGTACTTCAGAACAGGAACTGGAGTAAATGTCGTGACCAAACTGCAACGAACAGAATTCATAGTCTAGCATAAGGTCGAAAATACTTCTTTCATCCCTACAGCTACCACATAAAGTTACCGTAGTTTATTCAGACTTTTATTGAGTGCATTACAATAGCAGCACGCCCTTAGACATTTGCAATCCTTCACAGATAAGTCCAGGTTTTCTGTTTCGACAGGTTGGTGTCGGAAAGAAGAGAGGTGCACGATGCACTCTCGCTTAAAATTGCCGTTTTAATGGCGATTCAGTTATGTTTTTGGGAGATATCTGTATGAATGTACATGCAAGCCTTTTTTCTCTTTCCTGTGGTGCACAATAATGTCCAGTGTTATAATGCAGAATTATGATGAGATAACTTGAACGACAACAACAAATAATATAGTGGTCATGGAATAACGAGAAAGAAAACTTGATCGAATTACTATGGGACTTCTTTGGACATCATGCAAATTAACACATTAACTCACCACGCGACGTCAAAAAGTATGCATGGCTCTGCATTGGTTGAAAAGTAAGCAAGATCCCTCATATCATCGTCCTACTGATCAGAAGTATTCACCAAAGATATAGAGACTGCATTAATGCCAGGGGGTTATTATCCGTTAATGAGTATTTCTTTTATCAACTATGACTCTTTCATACAAGTTTAGTGAATGAGATTTTAACTCCGACCACTTTAAATTTGAGGGTACTGATGACCCACGGGCTGTAACGTTGTGAAAATTTTTATTAACTGTATTCAGTGATCAAATTTTTATTCTAAAATATGCTCCAATTTCATATTTGATGTTTATTTTAGTTGAACAGCAATTTACTAGTGTGTTTATTAGCCACGTCTTCATATATAGCTTTAAAGTGCAGAGTTAAAACCCTTGACTGTCTATTGTTATAGTAAGTGTGGTTATTCATTTAATAATCAAAGTGATACGGAGTTCAAACATAGTTTCAATTTTAAAAAACCGCGACGTGTTTTATTCAGCCATCATCTACAATAATCCTCTCAGAACAAGAGCAATCCTGTTGACAGCCAGCTAGAACTGTCAGTTCTAATGATGAAATTTTGAAAGATAACTAAAATTGGAAAGTTTACCAGGTCTAACTCAAGTCATCTGGACTCAGATAGTTCCACGGGGTACCTTTCCATAGTTCATAAAGCTCCGAAGTAGTTTTAAACCTACTCTGGAACTCCCTCTGTCTTTATCCACATTAAACTGGAACTGGTGATGTCTATTCTAGAAGAAATCCTTTTACTCCACATATATAACGTCATCCTTACCATTCTTCAACAAACAAAAAATAAATCCTACTCATTTAGATCTTGGAACAGAAACACTTTGGAGACGACAGATAAAAGCAGTGGACTGAAAAATGATAAAACAAAATAGTTTTTGAATTATCCACCAATAAAAGTAACAGATAAAATTGCGGAAAATCGGTACAGGTAAAACCAGGCCTTTCAGTAATAGAAATCGCATAACAACAGGAAAGCAACTCAAGGATTGGTCGGGTGAAAATAGTAAATTGTCATCAAGGGTTCTACTAAAACTACCAACATTCATGTTAAATGAGTAGAAACTACAGACAAAACGTCATTTTTTCACAATCACTCTCTCAAATCTAAACCTTTATCATGCTTTGCTAGAAAATGGCCTTGTATTGTTTGAGCTGTTTGGTGTATTTAGTACCAACATCGCAAGCAATAAAAATGGAACATGCTAAATATTACATGCTTCGTGGTAGAGGAAAATCACTTTGTTTAACGACCCTTAGCCGACGTTACAATTTCAAATGTCTCAGTTCGACTGGCTTCACAACAAGAGTTAGCCACTAAGAATCCGAACGCTTACCTCGACTGCAGGCCAATGTATTGTCCCTGTGTTACATCATTGTCCCCCAGCCATACATAAAGCAGATAATTTCCTTATCTGGAGCCATCTGCTGTAGAGTGAGACAATAAATCAACTTATTTGACTGATAATATTCGCGGTGAGCTAATCAAATATAGAAATCAGTTAAAGAAATATACCTTGATAATTCTCAGAGAAAAATAGAAACAGACGGGAGGATTTGTTTGTTTGTAATTAAGCACAAAGCTACACAATGGGCTATCTGTGCTCTGCCCACCACGAGTATAGAAACTCGGATTCTAGCGTTGTAAGTCCGCAGACATACCGCTGTGCCACTGGGAGGCCAAACGGGAAGAACTCGCCTATCTTTTCTTCAGAATGTCTACAGTATTCACCTGATGTATAATATATATATGTTTCTGGAACAATAGGCAAACAAGAAAACAAACTCAGTCATGTCTCTACGTATTACCAGATAATACATCTCACACTTTACCATGTCTATATTAGATATGGCATGAGATACAATTAATCAAGAAAACATTATCATGTTACTATAAGGTATTATATAATAATAATACATTTTGTACCATGCCTTCATTAGATATGGCATAGGAATGAGAGGATGCAAACACGAAAACATCGGGTTACTAGGAGGTATTATATGATAGACAAATAGTGGAGAGAAAAAAAAATAATTGTCAATTCTATCCATATTAGATAACAGGCAAACAATAAACTTACAGATTTGACCGTGTCTGTAATATAGCAAACAAACGTTAAAAAATTAACCCTGTCAGTTAACAAATAACAGAATAACTTAACTTGTGTCTAGCGGTTATTGTATCCTATCAGTTAACAAATAACAAATAGTAAAAGAACAGTAAACTTACCTTGTGTTAATTTATTACCAACTCTAAATGCCCATCCTGACCTCAAATGCTGAATTTTAGACTTTCTTTAGTCAGTAATCAACAATTCATCACAGAATTCACACTTCAATCCCCAAATCATTTCTAGAAACAACAAAGCATATGTCGACATCTTTTCACTTGAAAATGTTTTCTCTCCTTGTCCAACTTAGTAAGATGTTTTTCAAATATAAGCTTTCATATTAGCCTTGTTAGACTCATTTAGATCATAATAAACTTGTTGCTCTGCTAAAACACCTTCTAAATGTTATCCTCTTTCTCTCTCGCAAATCTGCCCGAGTAAGACATCCAAACGTTATGTTCTTCCAGTCTGCACGACGACACGACTTAGCAGCTTTTGTTCAGAACCACGACAAATGGATGCTTTTTTAAAAGAAAAACTCCCGAGCTCAAGCAGTGAGAGAGAGGTGCCAGCCATAACAGCTGAGACAGCTTTGATATAAAAGACGTTGTTGTACGAGCATCTCCTTGTGTTTACAAGAAATATGCTGTTTTTGTAATGTCTGTGATTAATCAAGTTTACATGACATGGCGTGCCAGCCTTTTTTGTTTCTGTCAAAACACGTACAAGATTTAAGAGAAAATAACAAAATATCATCCATTTAAAAACAACAACAACCTTGCTTTGTTTTTACTGACAACTTGTTTTTCGTTACTTGTGGTATTTCTTTTGACATCTTGTGTGATTAATGTATGTTGTTCTAACCTCTTTATCATAAGCTCTTGTATTATTATTCTATGTATATTGCTACCGGTGCTCAACTTCTAGAAGTAACAAAAGTACTGGATTCCTGTTGATGAGTGGGGCATTCTGGAAGATAACAATTTAAACGTCATTGAAACTACTGTCTGGGATGAAATCAGGGGAGGGAATTGTAGTTGACAGTCAAATATAAGTACTCAATGCAACCCAGACATACCGTATTTTTCGGTGTATAAGACGCACTTTTTTCCCCCAAAAGTTGATGTCAAAATCTGCTTGCATCCTATACACCGAAGGTATGAATAATATTTATGTATATATACGATATACA